GTAGAGGGAATTAAAATGACACAACCATGTAAATTCTGTTCATTAAGACCAGGTTTTCGAACAAATTAGATAATTTATCATTTTAAATTACACATAATGTCTACCATAGATGAGCTCCTTGATGTCTAGTTTAAGAATCTGTTACTTCAGTGACACATTCTTTAATTTTTGCAATATGCAGCAGTGCTCCCGTTATTTTTTATCCTGGAAATGGAGACTGTTCTACTTGATATGACTTGTTATTATTATTTTGCATGTTTGTGAATGAAAAGCAGCTAGCAGTATTATTAGTAAACTGCTTTGTATTGGGGAAGTACAGGGATGTCACTAAGATTTCAAATTGCCGGGTAAAATTAAGTAGGTGGGGAATCAGACAGCTAGGGATTTCTTTTGGTTATATTTTTCTTCTGTTTCCCTGTGAAAGTATCCACGGAAAAATCCTGGCCTGCGCGTTTCAATGACAGCCCTGGGAGGAGTGATTCTTTGTTCCCAAAATATCTTGGTGCTACCCCCCCACCCCCACTCCTTGTATGCAAGTATGCATATTTTTAGGCATGTATTATTAGCATATCTTGCTTCACTTAGTTCTGGCCTTCCTATACTAGTACAAGTATTCCTTAGAGAACTCTGCTTACCAATAAATGGCTATGTGTCACTGAACAAGGTGTCTTTTTGGACCAGAAGAGTGTTAAAGAGTGTGAAGATGGGCAAAAAGGACTACTTTTGTGCTACAAATGATCATTTTTTCCCAAAAAATCTCATTCCATTATGTTAGTTTAAATAATTCCATGTAAAACAAATGAATCGGGATCATAAAAATAAGGTCTGTTGTTGTTAAACAGGAAGCGAAATGAATGATTATTGTTGTAACCAGAATCAAGGTTTGAAGGCTCGGCAGCACACTTCTACCCACCTCTTCCATTGAGTATCCTGCCATAAACTATCTACTACCTTATCTACCCCCTCCCCTCCTCATCCACCTGCCCCTGGGGGATGTATTTCTCATAAACAAAAAAATGAAACATGACTATTAGTTGTAGTTCAGTTTTATCCAAGGTTAATATTTTATTTACCCTGAGAGCAGTGGTTTCTCCACGCCAGATGCTATGCTACGAAGAGAGAGAAACTACTGCAAGCAACCGTCAACTTTTCCACAGAGCATGCATGTCCAAGTGATGTTACCTCAAAATGTCAAGACACTTCCTCTTGTTTCGCACGAAACATTAGGAACTTAAATATCCAACGACCAGATGGCAAAGAGACCGTCAACAAAACAAATAGGTTTAATAAGCAAAACAACAACTTGCATGTGCAACACAATGTTTTATGCATTCCACTGCTGTTTTTGCACAACTATGACATGAAAATGCATAATTTCGTGTTTTATAGATAACATAAACAAGCAACAACGAAATTTTGTTTCTCTTCCTGAACATGGATATGGTCCTAGGAATTCAACTCCAGTTAGGTCTGCCTACATTTGACAAAGTAAGTTGGCAGGAATGAATAATCCCAATAAATACTGAACTGAAAAAGCGCAAATTCACAGCAGGCTCGCATTAACGCAGCAGTTGTAAGCATAAGCAACAAGTGCTGGACAGTGGCTTAATCAAAGAAGCAGACAGTTGCTCACAGTGGTTTCTCTCCTTTCGTAGCAAAGCGTCCGGCCTGGAGAAACCCCTGCTCGTGAACAGGGTATATTTTATTGTCCTTTTCTTGCAAAATCGTTATGGTATAATAACTTAGCCAAAACCAACGAACATACTTTTGTCTCCGTTTCAACTTTTAATATTATTAAAAGTTGAAATGGAGACAAAATTAGGCTCATACTCGGTATAAAAACCTGTGAAACTCACAAGTGACGTAAAAAAATTAATACCAGAAGCCACTTAGAAGTCAACACAATAGAGCCAAGGAAAATAATAGCTAGAAAACAACGAAAAAAAACTTCACAGGTTTTTAAACCGAGGATTAACCACAACATACATGAAGCGTGAGTCAGAGAATGAATAAAATCATAAATGTTGGGACTTGTGCGAAACGTTTACCAGTCAAAATGCATTTAAGTATCTTTTAACGATTATTTAGGTTAAGAAATATAAACTTAAGCTTAGATTTAAGCTTACCTTTTAAAATGATGGTGCGTACATTACATCACGTGGTCCAACGTGGTCATTCCTAGACACTTTTCCACCATGAAGACTGCTGGAAAATACACATCGAGTACTTTTAAACAAACCAGAACACTATTTTCGGCATTCCTTTTGATTACTTCTAGAATCCCTCCAAATAATCATCACAAACGTTCGAGAAGCATAAATAAAGTTTACACGCGGGTAGTAAGCCGCCATCTTTGTTAGTTTCCAGTGCCCCACCGTACACCGAAACTCTATGGATGGGTAACCTGTGTGCACAGGAAAAAAATAAAACTGAGTATTTCCTCTTGCTGGATCCATAGCAGACAGCAAAACAGTCGAATTTAAGTTATAGTCATTGCTTTTGTTTACTTGCACTACAAACAAATTTCATCTAGCCAGGAGCGCAGGGCCGAAAGCAGTCGATGTCGTGTTGTAGCACCTCATCCCTAGGCTCTCAATAAAGAATGCATATTTATAAGCCTAGAATGCCGTAATGTTTAACGGAAGAAAGGTACAAAAAATACTCAGGATAATGTTAATATTGCTTAAACTTGTAGTAATAAAAATAAAAATATCTAACCTGATTCTTAGACGTCTGGAGTTGTTCGCGGCTCCTTCGCTTATCTCCGTCTCCAGAGGCCGTGACCTCGTACGTCTCAAAATCAGGCTAAAAAGTACCCTGCGTAGCAAAAAACGAGAAGTCCAAAGAGTACTGAAAAGCTGATATTACTACGTGAATTGCTTCTTTAAAACAATATTTCGGTTGGCCATACCAGCCTTCTTCAGTTTTACAGATGTTACTGAATTTATGATAAGAATTACAATATTATATAGGTAGAGAATGCTGCAATAAATATTGTTTAAAAGGGAAAGGCTGAAATGACGTACAACATAAAAAACAAAAACTTATAAGGATATAGATTACAATTTAGACTGTTCACAGTCCCCTTTTTTTGCGTGAGACCGAGGGGGCGGGCGTCGGGGATTATACATGTAGCTCTAGGGCAGGGGGGGCGAGAAACCCAAGACCGCCCCCAGCCCCCTAACTAGTTTTGACACTCATCCAAGATGGCAACCCGTAACGCATAGCGCTCGATCTGGACGATCTTACGGGAAACTAGTGAAGATTTCGTAGCAAGCGTTTCGAAAGAAAAATTAAGGAGTGCGCTAGACCGATCTCGGTCCCAGGCTTTCTCTTCCTTGGCATGATGGTGATGATGTTATTCACCACTGCACAGAAAATCTGCGGGTAAGCCAGGGTCCGTTCCATCCAATCTCAATTCAGTCCATAAAAGTATGTTCTTCTTCTTCCAACGAAGTTAAATTTCCGCAACTATTTCTTCATTAGAAGGAAACATTACTAAAATGGTAAATGGTATGATAGGACGGATAAATATTTACATAACCCGAAGAGAATTTCACTTGGAACCTCTGTAATGAACAGGTTGAGAAACGATAACCTGATTTAACGAAGGCTTTGCTGAATACATGGATACATATACAGTCGACTCTCTCTTAACGGACACCTCTATAAGACGGACACCTCCCTAAAACGGACACCTAGAGTTGGTCCCTGCCTTTCTTTACTCCCTTTATTTGACTCTCTATAAGACGGACATCTGTCTAAGACGGACACTTACTGCCGGTCCCAAAGGTGTCCGTCTTAGAGGCAGTTGACTGTAACGTATTAAGTTCGCACTATGGCGGATAGCTTTTGCGCCCGCATGAAAACCATAACGTATTGTTAGCGGTTTTCACATGACGTCCCTAAAATCCAAACTACATAACTATCGATCCTACTGAGATTTTACTTTCATGATGAATTAGAGCAGCTGAAAACTAATTTTCATGAAAATTTTCGCTTCAAAAGGGTTCTTGGTTTTGTGATAGAGTATCCTTGAACTTTTAAGCTTTTGCGTGAAGAGGCATTTACATGACGGCCGAGAGAACTGTCACGTAGGTTAAAAAAATGATGTATTTCCTGGAATTTCGCTATCTAAACAGTTCATGGATTAGAAAAACTGTTACTTTAATGTTTATGAGTTCCTAGAGGAATAAATTCACGCTTTTGTACCAAAACTCGGTAACAGATGTTTTTGTTGGTTTCCGTCCGCCATGTTGGTACCCATCCAGGTAGGCATTTCTTCGGATATCTCGCATACGGAATATTCTTGTGACCTGAGTCTTGGCGAGGGTCTTTGCATATTTACCTTCTTTCATTTCCCAGATTCCGGACTTTATCTATTGAACGGTTTTGATTTTTATTTTGATCTATTTTGAATGGCGTGACACTGAAAACCAGCAATAGGGACAATGGAGCGTAGCTACATATCGGATAGATGTTCATACTATACAGGATAACTTATCGTGTCAGCACAAAATAGACTGCGAGCAGTCTCTCTTTTCCTTCAGATTTAGTAAGGGGTGTGCACGCGCGCACGAGCGTTGAGCGGCGAAGCCGCGAGAAGCGAGAAACGAAGGCGGCAGCCCTTGAGAAAAAAGTCGTGCCGTGCCTCTCCCGTCTCGCGCCTTCAGTCACGCGCGAGATCATTTGCGTGTCTCGGGCGTTTTGCTCAACGGACTAAGAAAAAAGAGAGATCTCTAGTAGTCTAGCACAAAAAGAATACCGGTATAGTGTGAATATAGCCTAAATCAGATAAAGAAAACTCCTAACCTGCCAGCAAGCTCTCCTACTTGGGTAAGCGAAGCGAGACGCGCGAGAACGCCCGAGCGAGGGGGCGCCGAGTCTCCTCTCGCGTGCCTCTCGCGCGTCTACTTTTCATGATATCACCCAAATGGAGAGCTTGCTCGCAGGCTAGAAAACTTCTAAAAAACTGGAAGCGTTTGATTAAGCTTTGATTATTAAGAAGTAAAAGGTCTCTCGAACACTTTCATCGTCGTACCCTTGAGAAGATTGGCCTCTTTTAGCTGCAACATTTCTCCTAATATCTTTCTGGCATACCCTGTCATGGTTCTATCTTGAACTGAAAAGAAGGTGAATTTGCTGTCGATGATTTCACAAGCACGCTTGAACTGATGCAGGAGATGAGCTTGAAAGATAGCTGGATCATCACTATAAACTGAAGCCTCCCATTTCTCCGTCTCTACTGTCTTTGCATGAACTCCGTAGCTAAAAGATTTCGGAGAGGCTTCGGCGGAATTTTTCTCTGCAAAGAAGTGGGTGTTATGGTCTTCTTTCAGGATTAAGTCGACATTTGAACGGAGGGGCTCGTACGGGCACCAGTCAAACACAAGGATATTGTTAGGACACAGCTCAGTGATCACCGAGGAGGACAGCATAATGTTAGCGAAGTACTCTTTGGTGCATGACTGTACTTGAAATTCATCTTCCGTTCTAAGGCTCGTGCGGAAATTCAGTCTGTCAAATTTTCTCGCGGACTTCTCTTCTACAAAAAATGACAGCTCATCTCTCTCAAGACGTTTCTCAAACGAATTCCTACTTTTCCTTTGAGGCTCTAGATGAGTCGCCGTTCGTATTCTAGAGACTTCGGGAAACTTTGCTTGTACATGTTCGCCCAATTTTACAGCTAACTTTCGTTGGAGACCCTGGCCTTCAAGATTGTGTGCAACTCGCGCTGCACGCCAGACAAGCGTTTTTCCTTCGTCGACGATGCAGCCCGCTTGTAGACCAATAAGACTTTTGCCTGCATACAACAGCATCATGGCCACATTTTCCTTTTTGAGCCATTTGTGGTATACAACTGGAAGGAAGTCGTACCCGTTGTATAATCCCTCCGATAACTTCACGACAGCATCGAAGTCAGTCGATTCAGCGAGGCGACATTGGAAGTCTGAATGAATTCTGCCTGTTGACACCTTGCGACCTGAAAGGAGCTGAACCCTCCGACATTTTGAAAGGAAAACTCTAGATCTTTGTTGAAGAAAGTTCACTACACTCGCCATTTCAAAAAAAACTACGAAGCCAAGCTGAACGTGCCTGCGTGGCAGCACAGGTAGCCCAAGCTCGAAATATGAGCATCGGTGAACATTGGGATTGTTGCGTAACATTCGAAACATAAGGATTTGTTTGGGGAAAAAAACCCATCGTTTCTCTAACCTACAAAAATGAAAGGATTTCAATAAAAAACAGCTTACCTTACTTAAAATGTGAACTACGTCTATCCCGTGTAGCCCACGGGCCGATCAGGGTCGTGTGAGGTATTAAATTCCTAAAATATCTATACTTTTATCACTTTTATATATTGTAGCTGGGGTTGGCCGGAAAAATTAGTACACACTCCTGAGCAATGCAATACAAAATCTGATTATTCTAAAAAATATGAATGTTATGCCGGTATTATGTCTGATTTTTCTTACATAGTATCAGGGTCAACCCACTATCGACATAACCCTTGAGACCTTACTGAGAACGAGCTGTTTGATTGATCACAATTTGATTTGGAAATGGCGGCGCTTCAAGTGAACTTTCTTCGTCAAAGACGTCGAGTTTTCGCTTCAAAACACTGGAGGGTCAGCCCTTTTCAGGTCACAGCATCTCAACAGGCAAAATTCATGAAGGACTCGATCTCGCATGTCGCCTAGCTAAAAGAAAAGTGACTTCCACGAAGTCCTGAAGTTATCGGAGGGATTACACAACGGCTACGACTTTCTTCCAGTTGTATACCACAAATAGCTTAAAAAGGAAAATGTAGCCATGATGTTGTTGCATGCAGGTAACAAACTCATTGGTCTACAAGCGGGCTGCATCGTCGACGGCGAAGAAACGCCTGCCTGGCGCGTGGCGCGAGTTGCGCACAATCATGAAGGCCAGGGTCTCCAACGAAAAATAGCTAAAAATGCCTGAAGAGTTGGGCGAACATGTACAAGCAAACCTTCCCGATAAAAGTCTCAAGAATAAGAATGGCGTCTCTTCAAGAACTTAAAAGTACAAAGTGGAAATACTTTTCAAGAACTTCTTGGAGGGATGAGATGCCATTTTTTGTGGAAGAGAAGCGTGCGAGAAAATTTGACAGACTGAATTTCCGCACGAGCCTTAGAAGAGAAGATGAATTTCACGTGCATTCGTGTACGAAAGAGTACTTCGCAAACGTTATCCTGTCCTCCTCGGTGATCGGTATTTTGTTCCAAAACAACATCCTTGTGTTTGACTGGTGCCCGTACGAGCCTCTCCGTTCAAATGTCGAGTTAATCTTGGGAGAAGACCATAACACGCACTTCTTTGCAGAGAAATGTTTTTATGGAGTTCATGCAAAGACAGTAGAGACCGAGAAATGGGAAGCCTCACTGTTATAGTGATGATCCAGCTATCTTTCAAACTCATCTCCTGCATCAGTTCAAGCGTGCTTGTGAAACCATTGCTCCTACTGTTGTCATGGTTACCAAAAATTAATTGTGTTTGACGTAGGAGAACGCACTCCTTGTAGGAGTCTCAGTGGGGTAGTAGCTTTGACGGTTGACTGCTAAATTTTAGGGTTTTGACGATTGCTGGTTATTTAGTGAAAATTTAGTTCAAGAGTCAAAGTACATATTAACTTCTGTATAAATGAATATTTAACTGTTCTGTGTTGGAGGTTGCCTTGGCCTTTCATGAATATTTCCAAATATTTTAAGACATAGCAAAGTTCACGGTAAGTTCTTATAATCTTATAATGTTCAGAGAGAGTGTTTTTGACAAAATGGCCCGTGGTTTTTCAAGTGATAAGATTCTTCAGGAGCCAAAAGTCCGTGAAGATCATCTGAAATAGAGAGATTTGAAATACCTTGAAACGTTTCGACGATTAATATTACTCTGCATTTTTGACGGTAGACGGTAAAAAATAACCTTTTCTGACGGCTGACGGTTAAATTTTAAGCCGTTTGACGGCTGACTCTTAACCCCATTGAAACCCTCTAATAGGAATTAGAATGAAGACAGAATTATGCCAATTATCTAAAGGCACGAAGATGAAAGTGTTCCGGAGAGACCTTTTACTCGTTAATAATCAAAGCTTAAGCCCGTATCTAGTCTTTCAGGAGTTTTCTTTAATCTACGAAAACTGATTTAATCTAAGAGATAATACCATTACATCGTATATCCCCAAGTCATCAATTGAATAAATGTTAAGGTTTTTTGTTTTTACTCCAACCGATGTAATGTCTTTTTTGTATTAGTTTCAAATACGTTTCTGGTGTATTCAGCAAAGCGTTAATTAAATCAGGTTGATTTTTGAACCTGTTCATTTTAGATGCTCCAAGTCAAATTCTCGAAGCATATACAGAAGTTTCCTTTCTTACTTTCCAAAGTAAGCACATTTTTGTACCTATCAAACTATTTGTTGCTTCTAACGTTGACATAAACTAGTTTAGCAAATTTAACTGCGTTCGAAGAACGTACCCCTTATAAAGAATGAATTGAGATTGGATGGAATGGACCCTCGCTTCCCCGCGTAATTTCAGTGTACGGGTGAATTACCGTATTTATTCGAATAAGCGCCCAACCTCGAATTAGCGCCCACCTCGAATTAGCGCCCACCTCGAATAAGCGCCCATCCTAAAGGCAGAAAAAGTTAATAAGCGCCCAGCCTCGAATAAGCGCCCACCCCCTCCCTCTCCCAATCAAACTCAAATAAGTGCTCACCCCCACCCCACCCACTTGAGTGAATAAATTCTAATAAGAGACTTCCCCGAGGACGGAGTTTTCTTCAGAGTATTTAACAGAAACCTTGCTTTGTTACTTCTTCGCGTTTTGTTATTAGCATTTATTGTTTTTTTGCAAAATAAACATACTTCACTGGCTGAAAATGGTGAAAATTTAATAAGCGCCCAGCCTCGGATAAGCGCCCAGGGCGGTTTATCGAATAAATTCGGTACATCATCACCAACTTGCCAAGGAAGAGAGAGCCTGGGACCGAGATCGATCCGGCGCACCACGTAATTTTGAATTGATACTAGCTTATGCAATATTACCATTCTCCAGTATTTGTTTCAAACTTTCTTCCGTTAAACATTATGGCATTCTCTATTGAGGGCCTAGGCATGAGACTGACATCGATTTCTTCCCGCCCCGATTAGGTTGGATTGACTGGGTTCAATAATTTCTTGAGAATTTTTGGATCATTATTTGAATGTTTTCGATGTATAAGAATTAGGGGGGGGGAGGGTGGGGGTAGAGGTATTAAAAACTTTTTAAAAATGGATAGGTGTTGGATTTGGGGGTTGTTAAACATTAAAATATGAAGTGAATAGCTAGTAGACAAATACTAGATAGTCCGGCACCACAACAAGGAGCCTCTGAGCCCATTAGTGAACTAAGTGGTTTACCGTAAAGGACCTAATAAACGCCCACTCTCAAATAAACGCCTCTTATCTAATAAACGCCCCCCCCCACCCTACCCCATTAAAATTGTATTAGAGGCCCTTTTCTAATAAACACGCCCCGTGTCTAATAGACAGGATTGACTTGGGTCAATAATTTCTTGAGAATTTTTGAGAATTACTCCAAAGCACTAGGAATAAGAAAAAAGGAGCAAAATCATTCAATTCGTTAACCAGGGTTTACGTATTTCATCTTGTTCAAAAAAGCAATGATCGACTAACGATGACAACACAGTAACCCTGAGCTAGAATTCTGACAGAGATGTTGGGATTTGAAAGAGCGATATGGATTTCTAGACGGCCTAGGCGTATCAATTGATGGAGTGGATATTCCACTATTTTGAAACTCTCTTAATATTTTTGCCGTCAGCATATTAGTTTTCTTGAGCTTGTTACAGTTGTAAAAATAAACGCCTCCTATCTATAAACAGCCCCCGCTTGGACCCCTAAAATTAAATAGATGCCCCGGGCTTTTGTTAGGTCTTTTACGGTATATGTGTATTCCTTTCCTACCCTAATTTATTTCCTTCTCAAATCAACATCATTTCCCCCAAGAAACAACCAGAATGCCACATTAAACACAACTTTTAACTCTACTTCATGTTACTAAAACATTAAAACTAGCCGTCAGAAACCGCTTGGGAGATTTCAAATGAATGAACCTTTTTACTGTTTACTTTTCCTTTTTCTTTGTTTTAAGAATAGAGAAAAACTTTCCTTCTCGCCATAAATAAGACCGTTGTTGATAAAAGAAAATTATATCTACGATCTAATTAAAATCGAAAAACTATGAATAAAGCAATTCTTAGAATAGCTGACATGAAACAATCAATCAACTTCAAAGGGTCTAGTCTTCTAAAATATCAATAACGAATATCAAGCTGTGGAAATCAGCTTGTAAAATTAGCTCCATTCATTCTATCTACACTTGTTTAGCGATGTTTAACCTATCGCTCCTTGGAGGTCATCTTCGATCAATAGGCCACGTGGAATAGCAAAAAAGATTAATAACCTTAAAAGTCAACGGCTTTAATTGATTTTGGCTGCTGGCAACTACAATAAACCATTGTGTTATTAAAGGACCACAGGCTTCCGGTAACAGAGAACTCACAAACATAACTACGTAACTGAGAGACTTTTTGTTTTCAAGGTTGGACTTAGCGCAAAAGAAAATGATAAGTCACGCAGAGTAAATTATTGTTTTAAGTCTCAAATACAGTCGCTTTACTGCTAAAAGCCAATACCCCTACTGGGTTTTCCTAATGTGTTACTATTTCTCGTTTACGTCGTGGTGAAAAAGGAAGAGTAAAAAACCGAAAAGCTGAGCTTAAGCCATACTCGTCAGCATACTGTACTTGCTTCATTTTTAGAATACCTTTAAAAAAGAGCGCTTTGATTGGAAAGGGCTGAGCGGTAAGGGCTGAACACGTTATTACAATGTAAAAACAGGTTATCAAAAATTCTGAATTTTAGTCAACTAATAATTATCAGCGAGTTTATTTATTCCCGTTTTCAAGTCGAAATTAATAAAAGTTTTCCTTTAAATTATTAAATCGTCTGTTGGGCTTACACTATGAATTTGGTGAAAT